CCCGAATCTCCCTTAAGTTTCTTCTCAATTTTGGCTTCAATTGTGTTCACATCATTCTTCTCGAATTTCTTCTTCTCCTCACCCACTGAATTATTAAAGAAACTTCCTTTCACATCACTCTGCTTCACCTTGGGATTGAAAAGGTTTCTTGAAAAACTTTTTAACTCGGTTGTTCAAGTAAAAAGCAATCGTTCATCATCAGAATTCATTAGAAAGCCTTCTTAATCAGAATCATCTTTCTCAACTACTTCTTTCTCAGACACTGTCGAAACACGAGCTAAAGGACCTCCCAAACTAAGTTTCGAATCTTCAGCCATCTCATCACTTCACTTTCGTGAGTTTTCAACTGATTATACAAATCATTCAGAGATGAAGTATCGAAGCTTTGTTGATTCTTCACCATCATATTGACACTTCTCCATTCCTTACGAAGTCCCATCACAAAATTGAGATTGAACTCCATTGATGACCTTGTGATTCCATAACGATTTCATCTATAGATCAGTTCATTAAGACAATCATAGTAAACTTCAATCGTTCCATTCTCTTTTTGTCTGAACTCTTTCAGCTCCACAAGACACTGCTTAACAGAATTTATCTTCGTTTTCTCACTTCCCTGATACTTTTCCTTAAGTGTGTTCCATATTTCCTTTGCAGTTTTACAACCACGGACGTAATTGTTAACAACAGGTGGCAATGCACCTCATAATTCTCTCAAACAACGTTTTTCGTTGTTTTTCAGCCTGGTGGATTGATCAGTAACTGCAGGTGTTGATCCATATGATCCAATAGTTTGAACATTCGATGGAGGTTGAGCGATTCTGTAATGCAGCTCCAGAGTTCCTCGTCCAATCCGTTCAAGTAATCCTCCATTCGATCAGCCCAATGATCATAGTACTCTGGAATCAACATAGGAATCTTCGTAGAAGATCCTAATAGATGAGAAAATGAAGTCATCGTGTTCATTTTGAATTCGCCATTAACGTACGGATGAGATTTTTCAGAAAAACTTGAAGAAATTTGAACTTGAATGAATGAATTGATTAGAAACTCGAAATTGATTACTCAATTACACAATTCAAACGCAGAATCAAATCAAAAACTGTAGATCGGAGATGATTTTCAGAATCAAACAGTGTGGAAACTTTTGAGACAAACTCGCGACCTAAAAACTAGTGATTCAATTAAAAATCAGATCTTCGCAGTATTGATTCCTGCTCTGATACCAACTGTAGAAGTGTTTAATCGAGTATGAGAATCAAATCAGAGTAAAAGATGAACACAAGAAGTAAATAAGGTCTGGTTTAGCTCATATTACTCTCAGAGAACAAGAGTACAAAACTGATAGTAAATGATGGGAAAAACTCTACTATCAACTCTATGTTCAGCTCCTATTTATAGGAGGCTGAAAGTACAAAAAATACTAAGGCTAGACATTAAGCTTCGTCAAAAAGATGCCTTAGCAAATACATAAGGAGACATACGAAACTATCTATTACACAGACTTCGACATATTACAAGATATTTCAACTCTACAAAAACCAACTAATTAGGATAAGGGAAAAGAGAAAGTTAATGTTTCTAGAGAACAAGGTCCAACTGTAGTCCTTCCTTCAACCAAAGTAGTTAAGACTACAAATAATGACAAGGAAAGAAAGTCCAAGAGAGTACCAAAGGCCAAGTCTAGCTAAGGGAAGACCAGACACACCAGTCCTCCCAAAACTTCAAAGACTCAAAGAACATATCCTTAAAATAATGGTTTCTTAAATTATGGATTTCCAAACCAAAGTGGAATTCACTATCAGAATAGTTTCAGACCTAACAATCTTCCTAGTTTGTCTGAAATAATGAGATCAAGATCTGTTCCAACCAACCCATTCATGCATCAGAATAGTAATTACCTTGTGAATTCTATTCTTGGTCCATATTGTGGTTTTAATTCATCCATAGGAGGGAACCAAATGTTTGGGGGAAACTCTGGGTTTCCAATGATCAATTAGTTCGGAGAAAATACCTAGTTTCCCATGTTTGATCATTTCGGAATGCCTATGAACTATGGATTTCCTTCTCTAGGAATTCCTACTCAGTTCACCATCCACCATCTTTCTGTCATATCAAACATCAAAACAATACCACTAAGAAAGCCAAAAACAAGGTCTCTAGAACACAAGCAAAAAGCAAAAAGGTTAATGATAAACAAGAAAAGACTATCCCAACTCCAACAAGTCCGAAGAAAGCTAACACTCAAGGACCTAAACAAACATGGGTACCTAAAACTTCTCTCTAAATGCATCCTTTTTGTGCCGAGGTACCACAAGATGATACATGGTACATTGACATTGGATGCTCCAGGCACATGACTAGGCACAAAGGTTATCTTAGAGATTTCAAAATCACTACGCCATGTCAGTGTGTTACTTTCAAAAACAACATGAAGGGAGAAGTTATAGGAGATGGAAACATATCGTACAGGAACTTTACCATTAAACGTGTAGCATATGTAGATGTTCTTAAACATAATCTTATTAGTGTTTCACAACTGTGTGATAATGATCATGAGGCTTTGTTCACCACAACCAAGAGTTTGATTATGGATACCAACAAGCACATCCTTGTTGATTCCCCACTAAATGGGAACCTGTACCCTCTTGATATTGAACTAATTGATGGAACCCCTGATATTTGTCTTCTTTCCAAAGCTACTTCAGACAGTTGTGGCATAAAAGATTCTCTCACCTCAACTTTGGTTATATCAAAAAACTCATTTGAAAGGATCTTATGAGAGGACGGCCATTGTTAAAACATGACATTGATATACTTTGTGCTTCATGTGAACAAGGCAAAATTTCCAAATCTCCTCACAAAATCATAAAATAACAAAGTTTATCTGAACCTCTTCAGCTTATACATATCGATCTGTGTGGTCACACTACAGTTCTTAGTTAAAGTGGTAAGAAATACATTCTTGTGATTGCTCATGACCACACCAAATTCACTTGGGTGTACTTTTTGTGAAACAAATCTGAAACCACCAATGAGCTAATTAACTTCATTCGCTATATAGAAGTTAGGGTAGGTAAGCCACTAAGAAGGATAAGAAGTGAAAATGGTGGCGATTCAAGAATAACGCCTTAGATAACTTTATTTTATCCAAAGGCATCGAGCACACCTTTTCTTCACCCTACACTCCACATCTTTTCTGGGCCGAAGCCAGCTGCTAGTATCTCTCAAGAGAAAGCCCAACATCAAATTATTTCACATCTTTGGATGTCGTTGCTACTTCAAGAACAATAGGGATCAACTAGGTAAATTCACACCCAAGGCTGATAAAAGTATCTTTCTTACATATTGCCTTCATGTTGCAGCCTATAGAGTTTTGAATAAGCGAACCAGGGTGATAGAGGTAAGCAGTGATGTCACATTTGACGAAAGCTATGTGAGGGTTCTAGATCCAAACCACTTTGGTCCTCAAATGGTAGTACCTTTTGATAAAATGAACCACCCATCACCTGCTAATGCTTCTACTACAGTCCATGTTATTGAAGTAGATTTTGAATTTCTCTTTCCAACTCAACCCTCTACCTTAGAATCAGAAAAGCTCACTAAAACATATTCTCATGATGTCTCTCTACCTCATCAACCATCAAAAGTTTCCAATTCCACCAAATCTCAGGTTGAGGGGGAACCATCTTTGAATTATTCTATTCCTAAAGGTCCTTTAGAATCTTTTGAACCATCTACCCTAACCTCCCATCATTAATTTGGATTAGTCATAACACCAGTCATTGCATCTGAATATGAGTTTTAACATCCCGTCATCATTCTAGATGATATCATAAAAAAGCTTGATGAAAACACCACCTGTCTACACTCATATCAAAAATACATCCAAGGAACTACTTTGTCTCCCAAAAGGAAAAGTAAGCACTCAGATCATGCATCAAAGAAGTCGGCAAAGAAGAAGAAGCGATCAAAGCCAGATCAACCGCCTTTTATCCCATCTCCACATGTATCTGAAGATAACATTAGAGAAGATTTAGAGGAGCCCACATATTCTCTTAAATCTGGTATAACCTCTAGGTCATTTCCTTTCTTAGATTCCTTATTTCAAGCACCATCTGATTATGTCGAATCATCTTCCCCATCTCCAGTTTCACCAGCATGCTTTCAGTCGGATATAGAAGGTCCAAGCAATCATGTCTCCTTGGATTATGATTCACTTGAGGACGATGATCAAGACGGTGAAAAGAAATCCAAACTTCAAGATCTTCCTATACACTCTCCAGTACAAGATAATCAGGATGAGAATACTCCAATGCAAACGATAGACATACCTTCCAATGAAGGACTGATAGTCGATGATGAGCGAAATGACATGTCAATTGTCCTACACTCCAAAGCAAATACTAGGACACACAAGTGGAAAAACTAATGGTTACCATTGAAGATTTTCATGGCACATCTATGTATATCAAGAGACAAGTTGCTCGTAACATGCGGCAGATCCAAACTCTAGATCACAAAATTCACAACACTATTGAAGTTCTTCTATCTCCGATGTATCAGAAGATCGATGAATTTATTCAGTCCTTATCCAGTCTAGATTCCGTCTATGAAGCTATGTTAGATCATCTGCAGAGTCATATCACTGCTCCAGATCGATACACCTCCTCTCTTGAGAAGTCAATTGCTGAACTATCTAAAGCTTCAGCATCATCTTCCACCTCTCCCTTTCAAGCATTTAGTGAGCAAGTTCAGTGTCAATTGGATTCATTGCGATCTAACATTGATAATATCTCCAAATCCAATTCACAACAGGTCAACAATTACTCAGGTGATATCACTTCTCTTTAGAAAACTTTTCAGCTGCTAGTCAATGAAGTCAAAGCTGTCAAGACACAATCTTCTTCTTCTAACCTATGTGCTCTTCAACAAAAAGTTGCCTCGATTGATTCCAAGCTAGATCTAATATTGGAAAAGTTATCTGGTTCAAATGATAGGCCACCTGAACCAGAAGGGGAATAGGTAGACAAGTCCAGATCAAGTCAGTCTCCTATCATTCATCAAATTCCAGACTCACCAAATGCGTTTGAGAAAAGGAGAAAGGAGAAATTAGAGTTACTTGATAAAATGGTTGTTGTCGCAAGATTAAAAGCTCAACAAAACAGAGCAAAGATGGCAGAAACAGAAAAGGAACTCATTCGTAAGCAAGGGATCAAGGATCCAGCTCTAAAAGTTCCAAGAAGGAAAGATATTTACATTACCAAACCTGTTACCATATCACAACCAATTGCTTAACCGAAGCTTCACCAAATTGATCCTAAGGATAGAGGAAAACAAAAGGTTATCTTCAAGACAAAGAATGAGTTAGCTAAAGAAGATCAAATGGAAATATATGAAGAGTTAGTAAAGCAACTTAAGGCTAAGGAGTTAAAGTCTAAACAAGAGGCGCTTATAAAAAAGAAATCTTCAGAGATCTCGCCTGAAGAAAGAAGTACATTGCATGATGAACAATTTTTAGCACCATCTCCTAAAAGAACCATCTTCTTCAATCTTGATGTAGATTCTTATTAGAAGATCAAGGTTATCAAGCGCACAAACTCCTTTGCACCTCCTTCATATACCTCTAAAGAAAACTAGGATATTGTTGCACCCCCGGATGGTACAAAGTTCAGTTTATGGCCAAGTGCAATATATCCAGTTAAGCCTGCTATACTCATTGAAAAGTTGAAGAAAATATTCTTCTTGAAGAAACCAATTCAAGTTGTCTTTGTATAGTAAAAGTTCAAGATTGCTTCAATTAGAAAAATTGACATACGAGATTTTAGAAAGAAGTCATATGTATTATTTCGAGGAAAAAGGACAGACAACTCTAAATTCATGTTTTTCAAGCTCATTTCCCTAGAATAAATCAAGCTGATATCAGATCATTGATCATTTCGTTGAAGCATAGGGCGAGTACCAATGAAACTTATGCAGATTGCCTACACCGCCTAAGGCAATATGTGCTCGACATAGTTATTGATTTCAGTGTTGACTGGGAAATTGGACAGCTAGGAGAAAACGAAGTTAACGAGCCAGATTTGGATCCAAATATGGAAAATGAGTCACCTGGGAACATACTGAAGAAACCACATAGGGGAGTTGTATTCTCTTCTAAAGGTTGACTAAGATTTATGAGAATCACTCAAAAACATCTATTCTCTTCTAAATTCATTCAAGGCATCATTGGTTTATTGAAGAGAACAGGAGTTCAAGATAATTTACTGAGAGTGAAGATCATTCAAGGACTTACTTGGTTTTTAAGTTTTTGAAAGTGATTACTAAACTTGAGAAACAAAGTTTAGATTGTGTGTTTTTGTTTTTTAAATAAAACATGTGGACATTTTTTTGTTTTTGCTGCTAGTAATTCATCTTTTTGTTAATTTCATCGTGCATGTTTTTACCTTTATTTTTTACTCCTTATTTCAGTAACCATCACATAAGGGGAGACTGTTGGAAATGTTTTGATGTGATTGTCACTTGAAATAAGTTGAGTATGTGTCTATATCTATCTAACAAACATTATCAGAATGTTTCAGGTTGGAAAGATCCTAAAGATTCAAAGAGTGTTTGAAGAATCAGATGTTGGAGCACTTGCAGCTTATATGGAGCACTTATTGTTGACGTGGAGCACTTGCTGTTGACATGGAGCACTTGTAGCATAACATGGAGCACTTGCTAAACATGGAGTGCTTGCTATTGACATGGAGCACTTGCTGAATGCAAGTTGAACCATGATGATCTCATATGGAACATCTAAATCATATGTGGAGCATCAAGATATTGGTGGTGATGGGTTTGAGCATAACAACATCCTATGTGTTCATGTAAAACTAATTGCTTTGGATCTAAGTTTTTCACTAATTGAACATGCAAAAGAAATTCCAAAGCAATAACCCTGGATCTAGCACATATAAATCGAAATTCATATATTAAAAGGGTTAAGAAGATTACCTTGCTTGTTATATAGCTATAACAAGAATTCCTTGCTTGATCTTGACTCTCGAAAGCTTAGTGCCCCAAATGTTGCACCTCGAATGGCTCACAAACACTTGTAGCAAGAGGATGAGAGGAGATAGGAGGGAATATGCAGAAAATCGGCTAAGGTTTCTATCTTCTAAGCATTTTTTCTGAAAACCCTATTTAAATAACTAATGTTGCTTGGGTTTTCAGGTGGAAACCCTAATTTCCTGCTTAGGCCTTAAGCATTTCATGGACTTCATATTCTTGAAGCCTTTGACGAATTCTATAGGGCCTTCCTATAGATTTCGTCCACTCCATACAAAACGTGTCCAGTAGCCCAATTTTGCAACTATCAGTGATTTGCAAAACAGTCCCCGTTCTTTTAATCAGTTCCTTTAATCACAAAATGTAACACCTGTGTTTCTGGGCTTGTCATTAATGTTGATATAGTAGTCTAGGTTAACCTTTGTAACCCGTTTTGAAATAATAGAAGTGTATTATTTGAGTATTATGTGTATTGTGCTTAACAGTGTGACTTAATTGAATTAAGTATGAAAATAAGCGTCAAAATGAAATGTTAGATAAAGTCGATATCTATGGATAATGTTGTAGTAGTTGAAACGAGGTTTCTGAATATATAAAGAATGCCGAAATCCGAGTTATAACAAAGAAGTTATGATATGTCGAAGTTTCGCGACAGAACCGGCACGACGCTGAATGACGTAAAAAGTGAATTTATGTTAGAGCGATATTTAGCCCTAGTGATCTAAACGAATGTTGCAGAGTTCATTAAACCGAGAGCGTGCATAAAAAGAATGCCCAAATCTGACTTTGTGTGAGGAAGTTATGATTTTTCGAAGTTTCGACTTAGTAGTGTGCAGCCCGAATACTCGATTTGAGATCGAGCGGTTTTTACCCAAAACAATCTAAACTAGAATCTAAGATCTCGTCAATGGTAGTGCAACGGTAAAAAGATAGACGAAAACGGATGTCGGATGAAGAAGTTATGAATTTATATCGGAGTTTTCCTATCCCGGCCTACTAAAAATAATATATTTATAATATAATAAAAATAAATTCAAAATTAGCCAACGGAGTCTAAATGAGAATTGTAGAGCATAATCTCACCTATGCGTGGATATAAAGAACGTCAAAAACGGAGCTCGTATGCGAAAGTTATGAATTTCTGAAGTTCGGGGCGAGAACCCTAAGGCTGTGTCAGAGCTCACGAGGTGAGCATATGTGGCTCACGAGGTGAGTCAGTTCACGAGGTGAGCATTAGTGACTCACGAGGTGAACAGATGATGGACGTCTTCCAGGGCAAGTGGCCATGACGAACGCAATGACATATCGAGCTCACGAGGTGAATATTAGAAACTCACGAGGTGAGCCTAGCTCACGAGGTGAATATTAGAAACTCACGAGGTGAACCCAGAAAATTCACCCTATAAATAGAAATCGAGGGTCAGCCGATTTTGGTTGCACCTTCTCATCTCTCCGACTCCCGATACTCTCTCTAAGCCCTATTTTAACCCCCCCCCCCCCCCCCCCCCCGAAGCCCCGGTATCATCCCGAGACCCGAAGCGAGTCCCGAAGCCCCGAAGATCCCGAGAAGTGCAATTCCCGAACCGAAGCTCTGCCAGCGAGAAGCCAATTTTTGTGAAGATCTTCCAGATCTACCAAAGAATACTACTTCTACAAGCCGTAGTGCTGTCCGATCATCTTCTGATCAAGTGAGTGTGTAGTTACTTTCTTCTAACGCATAATTATGAAGTATTTTATACGAAATACGTGTTATGTGTGTATTTTGTTGTTATATGTGTGAATGTATATTCACTTTCTTTTATCTCATAGATATGATTTATTATCTATGAAGTACGTGTTATGTGTATGTGTCTCATCTGTTGTTTGAAATATGTATTGAATGAGAATGTTATACAGGTTTTAAACTATGTATAAAAATATATATTTTATCTACTAATATGTTGGGTAGAACATGGGTAGATAATTGATGTGTGATAAACAGATGAGAGGCCTGATGTTGTTGTTGATCTAGTCATCTAGCGGAGTATGGATGACGACCACAGACTCTTTCTAGACAGTCCAGTGGAACACTAGCAGGCTCATAACCTGTAGGTGTTGTGAACGATGTGTTCACCGGTGTACTCTATCCCCCTCATGGTTGCCTTTAGGACATCTATTGTTAAGGAAACCCCTTTGCAGTAATGTCCGTCCCGATGAAAATCCTAGATTAGGTCCCTTGTAATAGTTGTTGTTTTAGGGACATAAAGTGAGGATAACGGGAATGGGTAATCGGGTTATTGTTGGTTGATGAACTAAATATAATTATTTATTGAGGGTTGAAAACCCTATATGCTCACCAGGCTCCCCAGCCTGACCCACTCAGTTTTGTTGTATTACAGGTAGTGGCGCGAGAGCATAAGTTGGATGACTTATCAAGATCTTTTGATATTAGACCAGTTGTTATATGTAACTGTTGTATGGTCTATCTTTTGTTGTTTATGCTTTTGGTCTGCTTATCGGAACATGACATCCCGGATATTGTTATATAATGAAAATGCATCTCTTGATGAAATGCTTTGGTAAATATTACTTTATCATATTTTGTTTTTGGGAACAAATTCCGCATCTCTTTTAAATCAAAGGATTTACTCTGAAACTATTTTAAAAAGGATAAATGAAACCGGTCTTTTCTGGCCGTGATTTTGGGGATATCACACAAAATTAATTCCAAATTAATTTATGATCAAATACTAATTAAATAATATGATTTCTAATTAATATATTATTCTCATAATATATTATTAAATCATTTATTAAACTCTCTCTCCATAAATCATCCTGTCAAGTTGCTAATGCGAAGGCATCCCAAAAGGACCATGCTACTATCAAATCAAGTTCATACCAATTATAGTTATGGGCTTAGACACATAATCCAACAGGTAGATCATCTAGAATATTGATGGCTCATCAAAAACATTGTTGGCTGATCCAAAACTCTATGGTTCAACAAGACGTTGATGGATTAACATGAATACTTGGTGGCTTATCTCAAGTTAATGTATCAACATGATCACATTGATGGCTCAACAAGATTGCACATGGCACATCATGTACAATGATGGCATGTTCAAATATTTAGTGGCATATACAGTTTGTCCATGGTTCATCATGAACACGGGGTGGTACATCTTCGAGTTCAAGACACATTCCAACATTCAAGAAACAACTCAACTTGGTCAATGAGACTTCTGGAATTTGATGACATATTAGAAGACAATGGAGCAACATGATGCTCATGTTAATCGTAATATGATTTCTAATTAATATATTATTCTCGTAATATATCAAGAAATCATTTATTAACCTCTCTCTTCATAAATCATCCTGTCAAGTTGCTAAAGTGAAGGCAACCCAAAAGGACCATGCTACTATCAAATCAAGTTCATACCAATTATAGTTATGGGCTTAGACACATAATCCAACAGTCTCCCACTTGGATAAGTGTAATAACTAAAACTGTAAGTACGAATTCAGAATCTGATCAA